AAAAATTTATTTTTGGTTTTTGGTTTTTGAAAATCATTACATTAGAATATTTAGAATTTAGCCAAAAAACATATATATATCACATATTTACAAATCTTTTAATATTTTTATTTCTAATTGAATAAATATATTTTATGCTTAAGTTAAAAGCATTAATTTTTATCAGCTTACTAAAGTATGTATAATAATGATAGTAGTAATATTCTTCCATAAGGTACTTAATGCATTTATAATGAATGGAATCTATGGGATTAAGATAATTTATATAAAATTGATTAGAATTGGAATTTTTAAGATGAGAATTAGTATGTGTCATTTGGTTAGGGATTTTGGTTTCAATATCTTCCTTACAAATAAGACTATTTAACATGTAAAAGTGATTTGTAACATTTATTAGAGATAACTGATGAATAATTTAGCTTAGTCATTATTAATTACTTTTTGTACTCATTAAAACGAATTTCAGATGATTCATAATTACTATTCATTTTCATATAACTAAATAAGATGGAAAAAACCATTTAATTAATAATATATATATACGCACAGTAATCAATAATAAAAAAAGCAATTCCTATTGATATTTTCAATTTTGAAGGAGTTTGGATTTTCTTTTATTTTTATAATCATTATCAGAACAATCAATTGTCTTTATATTATTATCAATCTAATCTTGATTCACTTTATTAAGAAACTTTTGATTCAGTCATTCAAATTCAAAATACAGATTCTATCTCAACTTAAATTAGATCTTTTTTAAACATTTAAATATCTGGATAAAATATAATCACATACCCTTTTCCAGGAATTATTAAATAAGTAGAAAATACATCTAATAATATCTTATTAGATTTAAATTATTTTAAATTAATATGTTATATTTAAATAAATTGCTTAGAATATTCGTTGATGATGGTAGGATATAATTAAATTTTTTCTGGAGGGCTAGGTATAATTAATTTTTATTAAATCGTTCAAAAAAATACATATAAATTTTCAGGCTGGGTTAAGTCAAATAAGTTAATTTATTAAACTAAGCTTGATTGTTCTTTATTGTGTGTAGGAATAAAAAAAGATAATGGTGTTAGTTTATAAACGGATTAATAATTGATATACTTAATTTATCATTAGCATTAAGTTATAAGTTTAAATGGTTTTACAGTTTCAACTTATAGTTTTTCTTTTCCATCTAGCTCTTAATCGAATTAGATTGAAACAATTAAAATTTTAGATGATTCTTTAAGTGATTTATTGACTTAATGGCATTTTATTTAGTATGAAGAAGGATCCTCAATTAATAAGGGAAAACCTTTATATAGAGTTTATTCCCCTTAAAATAACTAATATATTGAATGTAAATGGAGTAATTAAATTAATCATTATTCTAATGTTGACTTATACTTTTCCTTTGGAGGAGATTCTTATTTTACAAATAATTTTATAGGATAATTAAGTGATTGGCGTATTTCTTATTATTGTTAACAAAATTTTGAATCATCCTATGAGATTCCTTGTCATTATTCTTGCTAGACATGTTAGGGAATCTCTGCAAATGAGTGTTTAAGTTGCCCTGAATAATCAAATAGAATTTATTCTCCTCATGATCACACATGCATCTGTTTTGATGGTTTTTTAGAGACTTAAGAATCATTTGAATGCAAAAGTAATTTACTTCAATTATTCCAAAGGTTTGTCAGAGTTTAATGGGATATTTCAGTTAAATTATATTGAAGTAAATTGTAATCTTCCTGGTTATTATTAATGTGATGAAACCAAAATATAATGTGATTTTGGATATTTTTAATATCACGATTCTTGTATAGCCTGGTAAATTTATTGATTTATTTTAGTCCACACAAATCTAAATCTGAAGATGTCAAAAATTACAAATTAGAATGTGCTTTATGTTATCTAAACCCTGGTCTTTTTAATTAAACACTAGTATGTGATTTTGATTTCTCCTCTGAAAATACTGAATCCCCTTTCTTCTTTTAAATTAGATACTATTCTTAGGTTGAAATGTAAATTTTAATTTAATTATAAGTTTCAAAATTAACTTTGATAACCATTAAGAATTTACCCCTTAATTAAGTGGAGGCCAATATAGTCAATAAAACTAGAATTATTGTAAGAGCGGATATTTTAAATATTAAGGAGAATGTCGCTAATGCATTGAAGGTTGCGAGGTTTGTTAGACAGAATATTATTGTGTTCAATGTTATTATTAATATGCTTTAACAGACTAAGGAAATTGTAAGAAATGTACAAAATGTGAATCATGCTATTTTTAAAATAAAGAAGAATATTGCCAGTATGATTTTACATGTTTAACCTAATAATACTTTTTCAATAATTAATGTATAGATTGTGGATAATATTGTTAATAATGTAATAAAGATTAATGTTTTTATTGTATTGATAATGAAAAATATTATTTAAGCTTAGATGGCATAAATTGTGGTTTTTGTTCAATTAAAAATTGCTAATACTGCTTTGAATATATTTATTAAGATAAGAATAATCTAATTATCTCAATAGATATAAATAGAGATTATATTTAATTAGATATGTATGAAATTCATTTAGGATGTGCTCAATGTAACAATGGATATTATTATTCATTTGATACCAATAAATGTGAATTATTTAATGATAATATGTAATTGTGTGAAGTTGGAGTAAGTTTGCCTTAAAGTCAAAGTATCACTTGTTTAAAAAGTAAGTCATTAACAAATTCTATTTAAACTACTAATTGTGAAGATTCTCTATTATGTTAAGAATGCATCAATAATTATAATTTTGCGATAAATTCATTCTGTATTGTATGTTAAGAAGGATATTATTCAAATATTATTACTGGATTATGTAAATAATGTCCTTCTTCATGTAGAACATGTGCTTAATAAAATATCGAAAAAAAGGACTATTGGAAATAGTAAATAAAAGCATTTTATTTACATTTTGTTAATTAAAATGGTTAACATCCATTTGAAAATTATGCAGTTAATCCTGATAATTTTTATTAAGAAATAGTTTGTTTAAGCTGTAAATCTAATTAAATTCTTTTAAATAATATTTGCTATGAAGGTTGTAATGATGATTGTGAGGATTGTAGAATAGTTGATGTTGGCTTTTTGAACTAGTCTTCCAAATGTTTTAAATGCAAATCCTAAGTCTTTAATAGATAAAGAAGCTATTAGTTTGATAACAATTTACAATAATTACATTCCTAATGTGGAAGTTGTCCAAATTTTTGCTCAGCATGCTATCCAAGAACTTCCGAAGAAATTTCTTCTATTAACCTATTTTTTAATCAAAAATCTGAGTACCTCAAATATTCATTTAAATGTTATTATAAAGACGAAAATGTTTAAAATAAATATATCTTACCTGAAATTTTAGCACTTTAAACATGTGGAAATTTTAAAAAATGCCACAAAACTATCGAAGCAAACTTTAAAGTATATCAATCACTAGGAGAAGTTAATGATGCTAAATAAAAAGAAACAAATCGAAATCTAAGAGATATTTATTAATAATTTTTAGATATTTCATTATATTATTAATGGAGAGAGTATGAAAAACCAGAACTGTTTGATTATTATAATCTTTAAACTATTGAAAAATTTAGTATAAATTACTCACTAGAATCTCTTAATTTCTCTTAAGATTTTGGATCAACTTTTAAAAATAATTTAAAAAAAAATATCTTTTATCTAAAATAAGTATAACTTAAAATTTTTAATGGCAGTAATGCTGAGGTTTTATTTATGACTAATAAATATTTCAAAATACTCAATTTTGACATCATTATTATCGAGAATATAAACTTTTCATCTCCTTCTCCTTATTATTCAACTCCTAATGTTAATATTACTCATAGCTTTGAAATTTTGAATGAATATTATCCGCAAATAGTAATTTTTAACAATGTGAATTTGATGTAAAATAAAAAAAATAACTTTTTAAAGTTTTCTATGATTTGTAATAGATCAAAACATTTTTCTATTATTAATATGAATTTTAATTTAAACTTGACTGATTCATTATTTTTTTAATATTATCCACATGTAGATTAAGAAGTATCACAATTAATTGTTGAAAATTTTAAAATTTAGAATAACTTTTTGGATAATTCAATTCTATTCTATTTTTTTGCTGAAAACAACACTTTTAATAGCATTATTACTTTCATCAATATAACTATTGAAAACACTTTATTTACAAAAAATTCTAGTTTTATAGCTTCCAATTTTGAAAAAAATTTTGATATTGGTGATGTATATTTGGAAAATTTTTATCTAAAAGATGTGACTTTTTCAAATTCCTCAAACTTTATAAAAATACTATCTGGGAAAAAAATCTAATTAAAAAACTTTANAAATCTAATTAAATTCTTTTAAATAATATTTGCTATGAAGGTTGTAATGATGATTGTGAGGATTGTAGAATAGTTGATGTTGGCTTTTTGAACTAGTCTTCCAAATGTTTTAAATGCAAATCCTAAGTCTTTAATAGATAAAGAAGCTATTAGTTTGATAACAATTTACAATAATTACATTCCTAATGTGGAAGTTGTCCAAATTTTTGCTCAGCATGCTATCCAAGAACTTCCGAAGAAATTTCTTCTATTAACCTATTTTTTAATCAAAAATCTGAGTACCTCAAATATTCATTTAAATGTTATTATAAAGACGAAAATGTTTAAAATAAATATATCTTACCTGAAATTTTAGCACTTTAAACATGTGGAAATTTTAAAAAATGCCACAAAACTATCGAAGCAAACTTTAAAGTATATCAATCACTAGGAGAAGTTAATGATGCTAAATAAAAAGAAACAAATCGAAATCTAAGAGATATTTATTAATAATTTTTAGATATTTCATTATATTATTAATGGAGAGAGTATGAAAAACCAGAACTGTTTGATTATTATAATCTTTAAACTATTGAAAAATTTAGTATAAATTACTCACTAGAATCTCTTAATTTCTCTTAAGATTTTGGATCAACTTTTAAAAATAATTTAAAAAAAAATATCTTTTATCTAAAATAAGTATAACTTAAAATTTTTAATGGCAGTAATGCTGAGGTTTTATTTATGACTAATAAATATTTCAAAATACTCAATTTTGACATCATTATTATCGAGAATATAAACTTTTCATCTCCTTCTCCTTATTATTCAACTCCTAATGTTAATATTACTCATAGCTTTGAAATTTTGAATGAATATTATCCGCAAATAGTAATTTTTAACAATGTGAATTTGATGTAAAATAAAAAAAATAACTTTTTAAAGTTTTCTATGATTTGTAATAGATCAAAACATTTTTCTATTATTAATATGAATTTTAATTTAAACTTGACTGATTCATTATTTTTTTAATATTATCCACATGTAGATTAAGAAGTATCACAATTAATTGTTGAAAATTTTAAAATTTAGAATAACTTTTTGGATAATTCAATTCTATTCTATTTTTTTGCTGAAAACAACACTTTTAATAGCATTATTACTTTCATCAATATAACTATTGAAAACACTTTATTTACAAAAAATTCTAGTTTTATAGCTTCCAATTTTGAAAAAAATTTTGATATTGGTGATGTATATTTGGAAAATTTTTATCTAAAAGATGTGACTTTTTCAAATTCCTCAAACTTTATAAAAATACTATCTGGGAAAAAAATCTAATTAAAAAACTTTATACTTAAAGATATCAAATTTTTAGATTAATCTTCATTTTTTATAGGCAACACATTTACAATCATGGATTTTAATTTGGAATTATGCTAAATAGAATTTGGCCATATCATTACTAATGATGGAAAATTTAGTGAATCCTTACAAGTCAGAAAATATTCCGAAAATTTAACTATCTAAAACATACATTTTATTAATAATAAATATCATTAAGAATAGGCTTTGATATATGTTCTATAATCTCAAGTTGAAAACATTAGCATAGCTGTTAGTAATTTGATTTTATCTAATAATTAATATTTTAATGTTTAAAAAGGTAAGTTGTCATATATCTTTTTATCAAGTGACCTTAGTTAACTCTACTTCGAATGCAGTTATTGTTTTTTCAAAGATGTGAGTATAACTAGAGGCTTAGGATATCCAGAATTAACTATTAAAAATAGTCAGTTTCTTGAGATTATAAATTTCAAAATTGAACTTGGTCATCAGTTTGAACTAAAATCGTTGCATACTACAATTGAATGTGTTAGATAATTTTACTATTTAGATTTTCCATTTATTCTTAGCGTTAAATCATTTTTTCAAGTATATATCGAACATGTTAATATATCTAATTTAGTTGTTATTGATTATCCATTCTTCAACTTTGAAGGCTAAAATTTAATTAATTCGGTAAACCCTAATTAATTAACTATTAAAAACTCAATATTTGTAAATAATATGTTGATTATAACTTAATTAAATAGACTGTCTTCAATAATTTCAATCTAAACTTACAAAAATATCTTAATTCTTTTTTAAAATTCAACTTTTTCTGGAAATTTTCTTAATAAATATGAAGATGATACTCAATTACATTCTTCATCCACATTGATTATTGATTCTTAAATAGGAAAAGTTAGAATAGAAGATTCATTATTTTATTAGAACATAGTATCAAACTCTTCAGATTCTAATTTATATATCAAATCTGAAATTGTTATAATCTTGAACTGTATATTTTTGAATTAGAATGAATTATCACTTAAGCCTTTACAATAAAACTTGTTATTACATACTGATTAAAAAAATTATATTGAGATAATCTAGGAAATATTTGTAATAATGAGTTAAGGTGGAAGTGGATATTTCTTTATCAACGAACTCATCATTTTATAGTGTATTGTCAAAAATTCTGTAGCAGTTAATGGTGGTGCTTTTTATATTAACTCTAAATCAGCAGGGAAAATCACAATAAGCAACTCTTCATTTGAAAATACATCAACAATTTTAAATAGTAATTAATTTTCATCTGGAGGAGTCTTCTATATAGATGCATCTAAAAGTCGTATAAATCTCACAATTTCTGAGACAACAATTAATAGATCATATTCCAGAACATAAGGAGGAGCTATCTATGTTGATGCATCACGAACATAAAATGAAATTTTCCTTAAAAATTTCACTGTCATAAATTCATTTTCTTTTAAAAGCTCTATATTGTTCTTTTCACCAAGTAAATTACAATCTCTAATCTCAAACGTAAGAATAGATTTTTGTCTATTTTAAAGTACTGATCAGGAATTTCAATTATATCTATCATAAATTGAAGATATATCAATATAAGATATAAAACCATTTTAAAAAGAAAATCCAGCTATTTACATTTAATATAGCAATTTTACTTTATCAAATTCTATCTTTCGTTAAATTCATCTAATAAATTTAATTTAAGTTTATAATGGAATTAACACTTACTTTGTTAATATACAAATAATAAATGCTACAATATTTTCTTCATCGATTATTAAAGTTACACTAAGATAAGGTATATATATTAAAAGTATTTTTAGATGTCAAAGCAAAACTTATTATAAATAATTTGAACATTTAATCACTTAAAGTTTATTAATTCAATTAAAATGAATGTAAATTTGAATTTTACAAGACTAACAATCAATTATTGTGCCCTAATGATTTTTCAAATATTTTATAAAATCCAAAAATAGAGAGAAAAATCAAAAATAATACTAATTAATTAAATTGTAATTTAAATTTAATTTAAACATAAATTGACCACAATTTTAGTCTAATTGAACTCACAAATTTTTAAGAATTGCATTAAATTTAATTAGAAAATATAGAATTAAAGTAATGTAATTGTAGTGATTGTTACTTTGGTTTGATATCAGTCTAGGAATTTGAATTTTCAACTTTGCAATTAAAAATTAATAGAATGTAAATACAAAATAATACTTGTGGTACTTTAGGATGTTTATCAATATTAAAATCTTCCAAATCATATAGCAGTAAAGAGGAAGAAAATAGTAGATTATTGCAGGCATCAAATTTGGAGAAAATTGAATATATTTCAGAGTATAATTTTTAGATAAAAATTGAAAATAGTTTATTTTAATATAATAAAGCTTTGTATGGAGGAGCTTGCTACATTTCAAGTGTGAATATATTGTTGGATAAATGTTCATTAATATAAAATGAGGCTCAAAATAAAGGAGGTGGTATATATTATTAATCAAATAACACTTATATCAAGATTATTAATAGTATAATTGTTAATAATACTGCAAATAGCGCAGGTGGAATCTATTTGAGCGATACCCAAATTGGACTTACTAATCAAATAAATTTTTTCATGAAAGATAACAAAGCCTATTCTTTTGGAGATAATATTGTGGAACATCCAAATTAATTAAAAATTAAATTGAACTCTTAAATAGTTTTAGAAAATACAAAAGTACTTTAAAATACAACAGCAGTAATAGAAGAAGCTTAAATTCAACCTTATTTCATTTATGGATAAAAATTATAAACCGAAACACTTTTTTTACCATCTGGTATAAAAATTTCTAATTATAAATATTTCGATAATATAACTTATTCCTACATACCGTATAATTATTCTTTTAGAATTCTAGCAATAAATTCTTTTGGGGAAGAAATTGTTAATCTTGGCAATTCATTTTGTTAGATAAATGCTTAAGAAATTAACAACACCAAAGAATTAGACCTTTACTAATATTAATTTGATAATGAATTAACAAAATAATATTTATCAATGAGTAAAATCTANTATTTTCTTCATCGATTATTAAAGTTACACTAAGATAAGGTATATATATTAAAAGTATTTTTAGATGTCAAAGCAAAACTTATTATAAATAATTTGAACATTTAATCACTTAAAGTTTATTAATTCAATTAAAATGAATGTAAATTTGAATTTTACAAGACTAACAATCAATTATTGTGCCCTAATGATTTTTCAAATATTTTATAAAATCCAAAAATAGAGAGAAAAATCAAAAATAATACTAATTAATTAAATTGTAATTTAAATTTAATTTAAACATAAATTGACCACAATTTTAGTCTAATTGAACTCACAAATTTTTAAGAATTGCATTAAATTTAATTAGAAAATATAGAATTAAAGTAATGTAATTGTAGTGATTGTTACTTTGGTTTGATATCAGTCTAGGAATTTGAATTTTCAACTTTGCAATTAAAAATTAATAGAATGTAAATACAAAATAATACTTGTGGTACTTTAGGATGTTTATCAATATTAAAATCTTCCAAATCATATAGCAGTAAAGAGGAAGAAAATAGTAGATTATTGCAGGCATCAAATTTGGAGAAAATTGAATATATTTCAGAGTATAATTTTTAGATAAAAATTGAAAATAGTTTATTTTAATATAATAAAGCTTTGTATGGAGGAGCTTGCTACATTTCAAGTGTGAATATATTGTTGGATAAATGTTCATTAATATAAAATGAGGCTCAAAATAAAGGAGGTGGTATATATTATTAATCAAATAACACTTATATCAAGATTATTAATAGTATAATTGTTAATAATACTGCAAATAGCGCAGGTGGAATCTATTTGAGCGATACCCAAATTGGACTTACTAATCAAATAAATTTTTTCATGAAAGATAACAAAGCCTATTCTTTTGGAGATAATATTGTGGAACATCCAAATTAATTAAAAATTAAATTGAACTCTTAAATAGTTTTAGAAAATACAAAAGTACTTTAAAATACAACAGCAGTAATAGAAGAAGCTTAAATTCAACCTTATTTCATTTATGGATAAAAATTATAAACCGAAACACTTTTTTTACCATCTGGTATAAAAATTTCTAATTATAAATATTTCGATAATATAACTTATTCCTACATACCGTATAATTATTCTTTTAGAATTCTAGCAATAAATTCTTTTGGGGAAGAAATTGTTAATCTTGGCAATTCATTTTGTTAGATAAATGCTTAAGAAATTAACAACACCAAAGAATTAGACCTTTACTAATATTAATTTGATAATGAATTAACAAAATAATATTTATCAATGAGTAAAATCTAATTTAATTTAACAACTGGAGATTATAACTTTGATGACTTAATTATATACTTTAATCCATAAACTGATGAGTAAATTTCTCTTTTATTATCCATAAAGTGTGAGTAAATATAAATACCTTAATTTAATTAAATATTTCCATATGAAAAAACACATGTTATTACAAATTATTTTCTACTAATGAAATTAAGAACTTTCAAATGTTAATTAGGAGAATATTTGAATTCAACATCTGGAGGTTGTGTAGAATGTGATATTTCATAAAATTAATTTTCAGTAACATTTGATGCTTTAAAATGTGAATTTAGAGATGAAGTCAAAATGAAAAATTTATAACCAGCAATGATAGAATTAAGAGAAGGATTCTGGAGAGCTTATTATTATAGTAACTCTATAGAAGAATGTTATCATTTGAAACTAAATTGTTAAGGAGGATGGTATCCAGGTGATAAATCTTGTGCTTTAGGACATATAGGAGCACTTTGTGAATAATGTGATCTTTATAATACTAAAGGATAGGGGTCATTTTCTATATCATAGTAATATATTTGTTCAAATTGTGAAGATATGGCAGCAAATATAGCAAATATAGTTTTTGTTCTCATTTGGACATTATTATCAGTGTTTTTATCAGTCAACAGCACAATAAAATTGATTGAAGAATTTATTTTTTATACCAAGTTAAAAACATTTGGAAAACATATTATATTTTAATCATCTTAAACATCTGTATTACTTAAGGTGTTTACTAACTATTTACAAATTATTAGTTCAATTTCTACTTTCTAACTAACAATTCCTGTTGGAATACTATTAACTTTTAAATCTGTAGGAAATCCCATAGAATCTATGTCTTTTTCATTGGATTGTTATTTAGTATAGATGACAACCATTCCAATATTATATTTTAGAATTTTGTGGGGGTTTTTAATGGTAGGATTTTATATATTAATTTTTATTGGTTTGCATTTAATTCTGCTACTTTTTAATAAGAAAAAATTAAGTATCACTTTCATAACAACAACTTTTATTTACATTTATATATATTTATCTCCGAATCTTATCAGTGGGTTAGTGGCTTTATTATCTTATAGAAATATTTCTAATTAATAATGGATAACTGGAAATGTTGCATATAAATATAATACATAGGAACATCATAAATGGTTATTTTCTTTAATTATACCATCATTTGTAATAATAGGTGTTTTATTGCCTATGTTCTTTTGGTTTGTTGTTTATAACAATAGAGCGCACTTAAATACAAGCAAAGTAAGAAAAATTTGGGGGTATTTGTACAATGAATATAAATTAGAAACATATTATTGGGAAACTATAAAGATTTTATAGAAAGAGTTTATTATATATGTTTTAATTTATTATGAGGATTATGTGGCTGTTAAGTCCTCAATGATATTTTTTGTGCTTCTATTTTATGGTTATTTGACTAATAAATATAAACCTTATGAAACAGGAGATTTGAATAATATTGATAGTTTATAGACAGCAATTTGCAAAGTTTCAATAATTTTGGCATAAACCATTTACACTTCTTAAAGTTTAAATATAGAAGAAATTGTTATACCCTGTTATTTTTTATTGGCAATTTTAAATATCTTTTTTATTGTTAGGGTAATCACAAAAATTTTATTTGCCTATTTTAATAAATTATCTGAATAAGTAGATAAAGTAAAGAGATATATATCTTTTAAATTCCCATATATAGTAAAAAATAATAAATACTGTATGAGATTATTCAGAAGTTCCTAAGATAGAAAATAATTGATCAGAAAAAGATTTTAATTGATTAAGGCATATCTAAAATAATAAGCTAGATATATAATATAATATAAATAGTAAAAATACAAATTTAAATAGGCTTAATAACATGGATTTGGGAATGAATAAGAACTAAAAGGATTCTGATAATATCTTTAGTGAACCATTTTCATCATCACGAAATGTTAGTAAATTATTCAAGACCAAAATGAATTTATAAACAGCTAGACTTTCTAGATTTTAGCTAATAATAAAAAACCCAGAACTTTGAGATCCCTTAATATTTATTAATATAAATATGTTTAATATTTTCATATGATTGATATTTAAAATTAGTAATACAAATGTTTACTTTAGAAGAAGCCTAAATAAAGAAAAAAGATAGAGAAGAGATAATGGATTGAACAACAATTGTAGATGAATATAATATATATATATGGATTTTCAACATTTGCAGTTGTCAGGATTTTATGTCTAATCTTAATTTTTAATTGAAATGCCTTGATTAGGGTTATCTTATCCTGGGGTTAGAGATTTAATTTTATACATTTCTAAAGAATAAGAGAATTAGAACCTTAAAGCAATCTATCAAAGCATTATCCTACATTTTATCCTGTAACAGCACTAGATTCTTCAAACAAAACTTTATGCTATTATGCGAGATTTTTAGCATCTTCTTTTTATACTTTTCTATATATAAAGAAATATAAAAAACCTTGCACTTCCATTGTTTTCAACTAAGTCAATTTTATTACCGACTAACATAATAACCACATCTGGTTCTGCTTAATATCGTAAATCTTCCATCCACTTAACAACACTTTCAAAAGTCTTTTCTTTTGTTACATCATAAACAACTAAAGCTCCTCCTGCTTTTCGAAAATGACTGAATTAAATTTATTCTAATACGTGCTTGTAATTCCTCTGTACCTTTCTTATCCAGCTGTATCCCAAATTTATGCTTTAACTTTTTTGCCATTCTATAAAGTGACTGTCTTTCCAGCAAATTCAATCCCTATTGTTGGTACTGCATTTTTTGGTAAACAACCTTTAACATATCTGTTATTGTATAAAATAAATTACCTGGTCATTAAATGTGTTTTACCTACTCCAGCATCACCTACTAACACAACTAATCTAATTTTCACACTTTATTACCTTTAAAGAAGTCAGAGTAATCCTCATTATTCTAATTGTCCATTATTCCAAATTCAAAATATTATTAATATAAATACTCAATTATTAATCAAGAATTCGTTACCTTTTTAATCAATCGATAATCAACTTATTATCTACTTTTTAAATTACTCAATTCTTTCCAATACTATTAATTCAAATTTTATAGATCAATTACTATTATTATTAACATTTATAGTTAAAAGAGTCTTTAATGCTATTGTAAAACAATATATTATCTATACAATTGTCATAATTATATATGATTTATTATTTATTCCTCTTAAGGGATGGCTAATATAATAACAATCTATTAATAATTTCAATTCTATAATTTATTTTCTTTCAAAATTCCTAATTTCTTTAATCAATTCTTATCTAACAAATACACTCCTTAGATCTTAGATATATTCATTATACTTAATGTATAAATGCTTTTCTAAATTATCTCTTTTTTTTGAGTTTTTTAACACTTCATAACTACATTTATGATTAGAAATCATATGAAACTATTAATATATCTAAGATTAAATTTATTATAATTTTACACACATACTATCCAAAAGTGAAAAGATTAAATACAATTTGAAGAATA